GCAGTCAACAAGACACACACACAAGGAGAACAGCAGACAGTCAACAAGACACACACACAAGGAGAACAGCAGACAGTCAACAAGACACACACACACAAGGAGAACAGCAGACATTTAACCAGACACACACACAAGGAGAACAGCAGACAGTCAACAAGACACACACATGAGGAGAACAGCAGACATTCAACAAGACACACACACACAAGGAGAACAGCAGACAGTCAACCAGACACACACACGAGGAGAACAGCAGACATTCAACCAGACACACGCACAAGGAGAATAGCAGACAGTCAACCAGACACACGCACAAGGAGAATAGCAGACAGTCAACCAGACACACAAACGAGGAGAACAGCAGACAGTCAACCAGACACACACACGAGGAGAACATCAGACACAGGTAAAAATGGGGCAGGGGATGAACGAGGAGACACCTCAGCAAGATAATGTGCCAGTTTTCATGCCCTGGTAAACAGAGCTGGATGGGTGTCTTTCTCTGACGGCCTTTGACCAGTCATCACTGCTCTCTACATACAGAGAACTGAATCCGGGACTGGGTGGGCAGGGGTCACTCCAATTCCACACCCTCCTTGTGGTAAACATCAGCCCCTCCCCTTTATGAGAACACCAGCAGAAAGGGGCAAGCAGCCCCTCTCCAGAAAATCACATCCCTGTCCATGACTTGGAGTGTCCTCACCTGAAATTAGATATTCGCTGCCTTCTTAAAAAATACTTAAGCAATAATTACATTATATAATGTGGAAATCAAAATAGCTGTGCTACATGCAGAGTCTTATCAAGACCTAGGTCTGTGATACTGGAAAATTCTCACAGACCCTCAATAAATCCGCCGAAAGTATTTCAGTAAGTTTGAGTAATTACTTTCTAAATAATTTACCATGTAAAAGCACTGTGCTCAATAATGTCGACATTTCCCACATTTAACAAAGCAACATTGTTTTCACAATGGTAATATAAGGGGTCAAAGGCACTTAGAAGCTTTTTAACACTACATTTTTAATTATAAAATAGTTTAAAGATGTAGGTATAGTCATACAATTAATGTCAGTAATTAGGGAACCCAACTCTTTTATACAGGGCAGTCAGCCTCAGCCGCAGGGAGATACGACCTTTATGGTACTGGAGAGCAAGCATACCTGCTCTTTGCTCTTAGACAGAGACACAATCTCTATCTTCAAAGGCTGTTTGTATAAAAGCAACCTTGAAAAGATGGTTTAGAACAAAGGCAGCCAGTTAAAGATGTGCAAAGCCTGAGAGGCACAAGGGAAACGGTACTCCTGACACTTACCACACCGGTTTTTCCCTGATGCATTTCTCTCCTGTTTCAATTAATTAAGTTTTCTATCTCCCCTATTCCTTATTGTTTTGGATAATGCATTGTAACTGTAATATTTTAAAGTGAACCCAAAGTTCAGTTAAAAAACAGTAACCCATAGTATAGTTGTATGCATATGACTGTACATCACATGTATAATTTTCTAAAACACTACAGTTAATGATTCCACCCTTCTTCACAATATAAGACCTTGCTAGTTTTAACTCTAATCATACCACTAATTTTATAAGTTATGGCTGTATATTATTCACATTCAAATTTATTTTCTGCTCAAATTGGGCACGATAATAATTATTTTATAATACATTTGATATATCTGCCACCCCACTTCTTCCATCTTGCTCCTTTCTTCTTGGTTCAATTCCCTTCATCCTGAAGTCAGCTGCTTCAGTGGGCCTTTCGAGGAGTGTAGTACGTTACCTGAGCCTTTGTCTAGGCATATCATGATTCTACTCTGTCTTGAATGATGGTTTTGTAAGCCTTAGATCTCTTGATTGTTAGTCAATTCTCTTAGAAAGTTAGAGATAACATTACACTGTGTGACGCTGTTGAGGCTGTAAGTAGCTGCCACGTCCGAGCATTTTCCTGCCTAAACAGTAATTGTCTTTTGGAGATAAACTTCCATTATCTCTGGTTCCATTTAAGACTGTTTATCATGTTATGACATGTCTCAAAAATACAAGTGATACTGTGGATATGTTTTTATTTTAACTGCTCTGGAATTATTCTTTGTTAATATTATATAGTCTTAGTAATTCTTTATGTATCTTTGCTGCAATACAATCAATTTTGAAAAATCTACCTTCCGGGTTACTAATAATATATTTATTCACATTTAATATGCTGTTTATTCTATTGAGTTATAATTTTGATGAATATAATTTAAATCTTGGAACTTTTTATAGGATTTCATAAATAGAGGGGTTAATAGTATATTATTCTTAAGTGTTTCGATTCTTTCTTTTCCATTTCAGGTAATTTAAATATAATCACACGGGACGGACCTTGCGTCTCTTTATAGGGCAGAGAGCAGGTTTGTTTACTACTGAGTGTAACAAACGTAATATCTTCATTGAGGGCAAAGGGCAGGCAGGCTTTTGTCTGCCCCAGTTAAAAGACTCAGGTTGTCTGAGGCCAGAAGTCCTGTCCTGTCCACAGGCCGCAGTGTGCACATGTATCAGCCAGCTCTATCCCTGATGCCCTGCAGAAGCCGGGAACCTGGAGCTCCCACCTGTTCTGTTTGCTCCAATTCCTGCTAGCACCAATGCTTTTTTCCCCATTTGAGGAGGCAGAAGATAAGTCCATTGGGTGGGGCTTTATTTTGGAGAATTTATTGTGGGATAACTTGTGAGGATGTCTTTCTAGAATGTTATTAGGATCTACCTCTGCCAGATACATCGGGTAGTAAAGGAATGGATAAAAAAATGTTAATTTATTGGCTCAAAGATTCGAAACAAGAAATGTCTGTTCAATCGTGCGTCTGGGCAGGTATATCTGAATTTATGCTAAATAGAAGTACACGATTTCCGCCTTTCAGTTCAATGATTCATCAACACAACCCAAATTCCCTGCAGTCATCAGTTTCCTTTAATCTTGCTGAACCTCTGGGCATTTCTCCTTTCTCCCAGTGCACTACATCACTGACTGGGCAGACTTTTAGGGACCTGAGTTTTCTGCAGTGGTCTTAGTTCCCAGCCTCATCTCCCTGGCACAGAAAGCCCGTCACAGTGACCAGGTAGCACCTGGTCGAGCTCCGATTCCCCTCTTCAGTGTGGGCACCACAGAAACTTAAAGGACTTTGAAGTGTTTTTAAAATGTTTGACTTACCTAATTTTCAAACATTTTATTAGTAATGATCACAACGACTGAAGTTTTCTAGTGTATGGAACAGAGAGGCAAATACAGTTTTGAGACCTGGCAACAGCCCATGATGAGATATTGACCACTTGGTTCTCTGATGAGAAATGAAAACCACACCTCTGTTTCTTTGTTAGCCACGTTCTCGAAAGAATTATCTTCTTCACTTTATACTTACACTAAGCCACAAAGCCTGGTTCTGCCTATATATCTTCATTTATTTCATTTTTAACCAGTAACTATACTATAGCAAAAAGCGAAAATTGACTTATTATACTGTATTATTCAGAATAATGAATTTCATTTGAAAAATTAACAGCACTCTCAGCATGGTGTACCAGGTGGGCCTTCAAGGATTATTTGTTGCAGAAAACTATTTGTTAAAGTGGCATGTACCGTATTAAAACTTGTTTCAGAAGCCATTCCATTCATGTTCTTTCCCAGATGAGTCCCTCTGCCCCCCCTTAATAATAATAGGCAGCACGTTTGAAGTCCAAGGGAAAGTACCTTAAGAAGGCATTGTATCACCATGACATTTTCTGATTAAATTTTAATATAATAAACATAATATTTACCAGTAGTGACGGTGTAATTTCAGAATCTTCATCATATGATCTCCCATTCAGACTGTTGAATTCCAAGGATTGTTTAATGTCTTGAGACAATTTCTCCTCGATGGAACGTTTTTCTAAATCTACGCTTGGCAAATAATCTTTGTTCTCAGGTGATCCACAGGAACCATCAGACTCTTGATTACTTTTTACATCTATACTTTTCTCTTTTAAATTTCTTTCAGGTACATGGATTTCCCCTGATTTTTCACCATCAGAAGAATAAACATCAAGATCTACAATGTTGTCCAAATCTGTGTTTGAAGTTCCTGCAAATACAGTTTACAAAGGGGACATGAATGAATTTAAACAAATTAATTAAACTGTGTATAAACTAAAAGTTCAGCAGTAAGACATCTTTGTCAATGAGCACTGCTGCATCTTCACTGGATGTTACTTTCCTACGCTACATTCATGCCTGGTGAAGCACAATTCACTTGTCCAGTCAACATGAAGGAAGTAGACTTTTGCAAGGAAGCACAAATTTATTTTGTAATGAAATCTTAAAATTGATGCAAATTTTTCTTCAGAATAGACTAAATTCTATTGCCTTGATAGAAATGAAGTAGTTCAATTCTCACTTCCCCACCCCACTTGCACTCAAATTTTACAACCACAATTCATGTAAAGTAACACACAGGGAACATTCCTTCCCTGTTCTACCTCTTTCCCTAGCATGGGGGACAGCACACGGGGAAACCTTCCAGATGAAAGGACAGCGCCAGGTGGTGGCACAGAGAAAGTGTGGCAAGGACGTTTGCCTCTAGAAAGCTGCAGATTGAGCAAGAGTGTATCAGTCACCCACCTCTTGACATCTGTTTTAAATAAGTCACTGGTTTTCAACCAGTCTGCACAAAGAAATCACCCACAGGTACACTTTAAAACTGTCAGGGTGTGCACTTGACCCCAAGCCAATTAAAACAGATGTCAAGAGTGCGACTCAGGTGCTGGTCTTGTAAATTCCCCCCGTTCAGCTCTCCAGGGGGTTTGTATGTGCAGCCAGGTGCCAAACCCTGGTCTACGTTTTCTGAAGAGCAAAAAGTTCTTTAAAGATATTTATGCCATATTGCTTTCAATTTAAATAAAAGCGTGCATATCATTACCCAGACTGAATAGAGCTTCATCTGGTTATCCCTTATGCTTTTTCCAAAACAAATACAAGTAGGCTATAAAATAATAGACGCTTTTGCTAATATGGCCCCAGTGATGGACATTCTTCTTTACAACCCAAATGACTTACTCATTGCAATCAAATGTCTACATAACTTGACAATTATACACAGTATTTAGAACTTCCGATTCCAGGCACTTCTTTAATAGCGCATGTATCGTGAGCAATAACAGAGTATGTTAAAGCAATACTGTTAGAATAAAGATATCATAAAGGCTATGCAACATGAATAAAGTTTTCACAATAATGCTGTAGTTCCCTCTTAAACCAGAAGAGACATTACCTGATTGTTTGGAAGAAAAAGATGCCATAGCCTACGTTAAAATAATATTTCTATAGGATTGAAATATTTCACTATTGGGATCCATTGCTACTGAAAACTAACCAAACAGTCTTTTAATAATGTTAAAAAAGCAATCCAGGGTGGCGCCTGTGGCTCAAAGGACTACGTAGGGTGCAGGCCCCATGTGCCAGAGGTGGCAGCTTCAAACCCAGCCCTGGCTAAAAACTGCAAAAAAAAAAAAAAAAAAAAAAGATGCAATCCAGAAAGGACAGGTGGTATTTAGTCTATTATTTGAAAATTTTTCATAAAAAAGATGGCTCAACATTTAAATATCAATCTGACCCATGACCTAGATCACATGATCATACCAAGAAATGCAGAGAAAGTATTTGACAGAATTCAACACCAATCCATGAGAAAAACTCTCAGCAAACCACAAAGAGAAGGGAACTTCCCTAATTTGATAAAGAACAACTACAAAAAGAAACCCCTACAGATAACATCATATTTAATGGTGAGAAATTAAAAGCGTTTGTCTTAAAATCTGTAACAAGCCAAGAATATCCCCCGCTCACCAGAACTTCTCAGTATCATACTAGAAATCCTGGCTAATACAGGAAGACAAGAAAAGGAAACAAAACATATATAAATGACAGGTAAGAAGTCTGTCTTTTTTCACAGATGAAATGATTATCTATGTGGAAAGCCCAAGAGAATCACCAAAAAGACCCCTGGAACTAATAAGAAATTACAGTAAGGTTGACAGACTCAGTATTAGCTTTCAAAATACTGGTAATGAACAAGTGGATTGGAAACCTAAAACATAAGACTGACCATTTATATTAGCACTCAAAAAATGACATAAATGTCTTAACACAATAACTAAGAAAATTCCATGAAGGCTATGTTAACTAGTTTGATGAAAATATTTCAAATTGTACATAAAACCAGCACATTGTACCCCATAATTGCATTAATGTACACAGTATGATTTAATTTAAAAAAAAGGACATACTTAAGTACAAATTGAACAAATTATATACAAAATCTATATTAAAAAAACTACAAAGTTTTGACAAAAGAAAGAACTAAATAGGAAAAAAAATCACCATATTTATGAATGAGAAGAATACTAGTTTTCCCTAACTTGATCTATAGATTCACTGCAATCGCAATTGAAATCCCAAATTACTTTGTAGATATTGTTCAACTAGTTCTAAGAAGTAGAGAAAAAATGGCCTGGGATAGCCAACACCATATTAAAGAAGAAGAAAAAGTGGAAAGATTGACACCTTGTTACTTCAAGAATCACTATGAATATACAATAGTTAAGACAGGGTGCCACGGTATTGGTATAAATGTGGACAAAAAGATCAATGGAACAGAATAGGGGCCCAGAGTGAATCTGTATAAATATAGTCACCTACCTTGGTAAAGGAGCAAAGGCAGTCCGGTGGAGAAAAGAGGGTCTTTTTAACAAATAAACAACTGGATATCCACATCTAACAAAATGAATCTAGTCACAGACCTTGAATCCTTCACAAAAATTAACTGAAAATCATCCAGGCTTAGTGGCTCACACCTGTATCCAAGCACTTCAGGATACTGAAGCAGGAGTATAGCTTGAGGTCAAGAATTTGAAGCTATCTGGTAGATCCTGCCTCTACCAAAAATTTTCAAAAAAAAAAAAAATTAACTGGGTGTGGTGGGTGGCACATACCTGTTATTCCAGCTACTTGGGCCTCTGAGGCAGGAATATGGCTCAAGATCAGGAGTTGGAGGTTGCTGTAATCTGTGACTATACTCCAACTTGTGTGGAAGATGGAGCTCTTTTTTGGGGAAAAAAATAACTCAAAATGGGTTATAGACCTAAATGTAAAGTTCAAAAGCATGACACTCCCAACAGATAACATACGTTACAACCTAGATGACCTTGGGTATGACAATAACTTTTTAGACACATCAAAGAAGAAATGGATAAGCTGAACTTCAAACTTTTGCTCTATGAAAAACACTTGTCAGATAGTGAGAAGAAAGCCACAGACTGAAAAAGAATATTTGGAAAAGACTCATCTGATACAATACTACTATCCAAAATATACAAATAATTCCTAAAACTCAACAATAACAAAACAAATAACCCAATCAAAAAATAAGCACAAACCCTGAACAGACACCTCAACAAGGCAGATATGCAGATGGTGAATGAGGATATCGGAAGATGCTCACATCCCGTGTCCTTAGGGGATAACAGCAGTGAGATGTCACTGCATGCTTATGAGCATGGCAGAAATCTGAGACACTGACACCACCACAGGACGTCGAGGATATGGAAGAGCAAGGACTCTCCTTCATTCTGGTGGGACTGTGAAATGGTACAGCCACTCAGGCTCAGGCCACTCTGTCAACGTTTTACATAACCAAACATAATCTCACCATCTAACCCAGCAACTGTGCTGCAGGGTATTTGCACAAATGAGTTGAAAGCTTATGTCCAAATGAAAACCCAGACCTGGCCATTTATAGCAGCTTTATTCGTAGTTGCCAAAGCTTGCAAACAATGAAATGTCCTTCGTAGGGGAATGGATCAATAATGCAAGGCGCATCTACGCAGTGGAGTATGATTCAGTGCTAGAAATAAGGGACGACTTGGGAAACTTCAAATGCCTGTTACCAAGTGAGAGAAGCCAATCAGAAAAAGCTATGTCTTCTAAGACTCCAACTAGATGACACCCTGGAAAACGCAAAACTGTTTCGACAGCAAATGACCCATGATTGCCAGGAGTTAGACAGAGGGAGGGACGAACAGAGCACAGAGGGTTTTTAGGACCGGAAAACTATTCCCTATGATACTATTAATGGTGGATACTTGTCATTAACATAGAATGCATGACATTGACAGTGAACGGGGAGGTAAACTACGCACTTTGAATCATCATAACGTGTCAGGACAGAGTCAACTGATTGAAACAAATGCACCCGTCTGGTGTGGGACACTGGTAATGGGGGAAGCTGTGCACGCTGGGGCCAGGAGCTGGGGGGAGGGGGAATGAGTGTATAGGAACTCTGTGCCCTCTGCTCAGTTGTGCTGCATATGTATGTATGTGCATATATCTATTTATATCTCTCTATATAGAGATATTTAGAGCAGTTTTAGGTTCATGTATATATGTATGTGTGTGTGTATATATCAGTAACACTTGTGTGGGCAACCATGTTCCCCATGCTCCCTAAGCCAGCAGGTGCAGCATGCTCCACTTGGTGAAACCACTCTCATCTCTGGACCACATCCAGACCAGATCAGTCCTAAATTCCCATGTTGGGGTGGTTCAGGTAGTCCATACCCAGCCATAACAATTTAGTGGCCTGGTAGCTGAAAATGTTATGACCAGCAGACCGGCAGAATTACCACAAATTTACTGTTTTCCATCTTCTTCCCAATCAGAAAGTAATCACCAATTATACGACTATTCACTTTAAATATCCCCTCTGGTAGCTCTCACACTCTTGACGTAAGAGATAGTTTTGGGTTTTTCTTAAAATCCTATGTAAACCAAACATAATACATAAAATACAGCTTGACATTTATCCAGTTATTATGTTTTAGCTAGTGACATACTCAAGGTCACATAGAGATTTAAAGCTAGAAATAGAAACAAAACACGACTCCCAGGCCAGCATACTTTGATCTCTTTACACGATGATCTCACTGTATAAGAATGGAAACAGTCGTATGCACACAGCATTCTAATTCATAGAACCCAAAGAAACTACTGGTGACAATAACAGAAAAATACACGAGGTGATTTGTTTAGGTTTTGTGTCACATGAAGCTTTACATCATGTTTGAATATTTGTGGAAGATATGAAATGCATGTGAGGGTGATGAGGTGTCAGACCCTGTCATTAAAGGCCTTCCGTGTTATCCTTATAATTCAGTCCATAATCACTTTTAGAGATCTATATTGGGTTTTCTTATGAATACAAATACTGTTGTCCATTGACTAAAGATCATATTTGCTAGAAAATCATATATTTTCAACTAATTTTCTTCTGAGTGCTAAATTTTCTGGTTTTAAAATGAACAACATAACAGGCAAGCAGTGCTATGGGTTTCATTCGATTACCAACATGAACGGGTGAATCATATGAAGCAATAATACAAGGCTACCTTTTGAATTATTTTTACAGTCTGTAGAGCTGTTTCTCAAACTAAGACGTAAGAGCTCTGTTTTCCCCTTGTTGAAAATGTGACCTTGATGGGTGTGAAGTTCATACAGCAAACTGTTCTTCGGATAATCATGAAACGCATAACTTCCGTGCGCAGGAACGAGCGAGGGAATGAGGTTGAGAGAAATGCCACAAAAAGAAGAAAATAAAGAAGACTCAGTTTATTGACGTAAAAGTAGTAAATAGTAAGTTACGTTAACTTACTATTCGTGCTAACTTTACTGCAGACACATCCTAAATCACCATATCCTAACTAACTCGTCCTTATGTAATGGATACAGAGTAGCGGGTCACCAAGCCCAATCCATTGTAACTGAAAAATTTAAATAGAAAAGTTCTTTTTTAAAACATTCCAAAATAAAGTTGATTTCTCACTTTCTTCTAAAAATGCAGTGTTATCCTTCGAGCTCATTAAAAATCTTATGAAATCAAGGTTTTACTACTACAAACATATTTGTTCATCAGTGAACTATTAGAGTAAAAAGCAGCACGTGGTGTTTAGACTTTGATGTTTAATAACGATGACTATAGTTGCAGTTAAATAACATTCATTAGACTTGAATACTATGCAGTATACATAATAATCCTTGATGTTTATGTAAGCTTTACAGAGGACTACCATAAAACTCATGGATTATAATTAACCAAAAAGGTCCTCCGCATCCCCAGGGCAATGATCAAGTTAATGTGGTCCTACGGGCACCTCCAAACCAAAACTGGAGACCCACCGCCAAACCATGATCAGGAACTTCTTCCACCTTCTCCAGCACCATATGTGGGAGTCACATGATAAGATACATCAAAGAATCAAATTAGAGAACAGAAATATCATTCACTTCCTTGGAGATACAGAAGTGCGTAACATAAACCTGTTCTCTGCTGAACAAAAAGTTGTCTCCTGCCACAACCCTGCTCCCAAAGTACATTTGCTGCTACACATCTCAGTCTTTGCATATAAACATGGGGCTTTTTCAGTCCAAGGACATCACTTAGCCCCAGAGTGGTTGGAAAATACTGACAGGACCCCGAGTTGACCGAAACAAAGAATTGGTGTAAGGGGCACTTAACAGGAGCCTCCTCCCACTGTTTAATCAAGTTGATGCTTTGTAGTCAAACACCTGAAATACTAACGTTTCAACAGCAAAAGAGACTTGAGTAATTTTTAACATTATTAACAGACACAGTTAGATACTATTTTCCATGTGGAAATGACGAAATTCTACAAAACAATTACAAAGCAAAACTATTATATTTCATTTCTTTGTTTTATCACACATCAAAAAATGGAATAATACTGTAGTCGATACTACAGGAGCTCTTTTAGTATCTCAATCTCTTATGTATAAGACTTTTTCACTTAGGGTTTATAGCAAACTAAAGTATCCAGAGTATCTTTGGAGAAAATCAGAATGCTCCCAAGAAACATACTGGACTTGGCCAAAATCTTAAAATAATGCTATTCCTAAATTCCTAATGATCCAAATAGTAGTGGGAGTACAAACATATCATAATGGACAACACTCTAATTGCTAGATATTGTTCAACATGAGAAACATTGCACACAAATGTAAATACGGCTTGTGTAAAATACGTCCTACCGTTATTAAAGTTACATGTTTTTTACGCAGTGAATTTCCCATTTGAAAAGATAGCTGGTGTTTTTCTGGCATGGGTTTTTAATAGGATACAAAGCAAATAGGACGGCCCTTACCTTTGTTGACGGTCTGCCGCAGCTAATTCAACTTTGTAAGCTGCAGCGTTTCCAGGTTCTTCAAATTCCTCTTCATACGTCTTATTAAATGCATGTTACACAACGTCAGTATGTTCAATAAACTTATTACACATTAACCAAGGAATTTACAGGTGACATTTGGAGTGCCTTCTTCCCACAAATGATGTCGTGAGAGCTCCAGGTATATTTTATAGCCCAGGAGCTCCAAGAACACTAAACAAACTCAGCTGATGGTTGTGCAGGGCTGTTGATGTATCAGCCAGTTTATCACGATTATTACACCTGGGGCCAGCAGTAACTTTCATTCAACACGGTAAGTGCTAAGTGCCAAGTGGTTTAGTGACTGAGGAGCTCTTAGTGGTCTGACTAGCACGGCCTAAGTTTACTCTTGGATCTTGGATCAACCATTTAATTAACACAGTGTAAGTGTGTGTGTGTGTGTGTGTGACAGTGTATTATTGTTCAATTTCTCAAATTTATCCAGAAGAGGAATAAAAGTTGCTAGGAAAAAAAAAAAAAAAAAAAGCAGAAGCTGTATAATTCTATCGATCTAAAGAAGAAAGGTGTGTTTAAAGAGACTTTCTCCATTCTTGTCTTTTTCTGTGACAACGGCAGCAAAGAGTAATACCAAGGACGAGAGGGTCCCTCGGCTCCCAGAGGCCCAGAAAATCAGAAATGCCCCAACTCTGTCGCATCCTGAAACTCTGGCCCGGGGCTTCAGCTCTGACGGCTCTGGCCCTCGCTTATCCTGTTTCTGTTTTCTAGAGGTTTGTGTTCAAGTTATCATTCTCTCAAACCTCTTAAATCTGAAATACTATTTCTGCCTTTAAACAGAAAATATTAAATGGCATTCAAGAAACTACGTTTTCACTTAAATGTTATTAAATAGATATTATGTAATGAGGTTGATCTTTGCTAAAAATCCTGATTACATAAATAACTCAGCTGACAAAACACCAAATTACATTTCTATAAGTTAAAATAGTGATCCCCACACTGCATGCTTCAAAAAAAAAAAAAAATGCCAATTCAGCTCACAAATTTACTCTCTACAAAAAAAAAAAAAAAATACCGTTTCATTCTCATCACCGTATTTAAATTCGAGCACTTGTACATTTCCTGCTAAACCAGTGGTTCTCAACCTTCCTAATGCCGCAACCCTTTAATATAGTCCCTCGTGTTTTGGTAAACCCCAACCATAAAATTATTTCCGTTGCTACTTCATAACTATAATTTTGGTACTGTTATGAATAGTAATGTAAATATCTGATATGCAGGATGGTCTTAGGCAACCCCTGTGAAAGGGTCGGTCAACCCCCAAAGGGGTCATGACTCACAGGCTGAGAACCGCTGCTGAACTATGCTAGTTATGAAAGACGTCTTCCTGGAAATGGCATGCAGGTGTGTGATAAGGCTCAGGAATGGTCGATATACACTCACATCCTCCAGCTCCACTATCTTTAGAGATGGCTCAGGTCTCTCTGTGCTTAAGTCTTCTTCAATTGACTGAAAAAGATTCAGCTGTTGTACTTTGATTTCTTCAACTAGGAAATAAGTTTGAAAAGTGATATTATCAAATCTTTCCTGACATTTTCCTTCAAATAATATAACCAGCAATAAAAGGGTGGTGTTCTGTGCATCCACACCAGGGCTAAGACAGGTCGAGTGAAGTACCCATCTTCTCAGCATCTAATTTGTACATGAAGCTATTTGCAGTAGGCAAAGCCAATCTAGAGAACGGGAAGAAGTGAGCATGCAAGATTTGGAACCAGAGGTAAAGGGTTATATAATATAATCGAGAAGGGTACGTTAAAGAAAGAAAAGTAGATGCTGGTTGATGCTTAGTGTACATAATTTGAAGTAATAACTTTAAAAACGTCTAATCACGCCTGAACTAACCGTCACTGTCCTCCTCATTTTTGCTTTGAGGAATCTGTTTCTCACTAGGGGTTTCACACGGATGTATAAAAGTGTCGGGCAGCGTGTTCAGGAGCTGCTCTTGTGGAGTCCTACAGGACGAGAGAGAGAAGCAGTTAGAGCACCGACACACACCATCTGAGCCGTTCCCAAACAAGATCTTGATTTATTCATCAAATGAGCGAGTATACAAAATTAATGATGAAACCATGACTGCTCCTTTTACTCAAAGAACCTAAGTGCAACTGTGTAACAGACTCTTCATGTACTAAACAAAAACCTCTGTAAGTCAACTTGGCACCACCCAACATTTTAAAATTGCATATCCCACTGCTTTTCATTTAAGATGAAAATCAAAGTTATGACAGAGGTCGGTGTTCTCTCAGAAGCCACATGGAGTCCATAAAACACACCACGCTACTTACGAAGCTGACTTAGGAATGTGAGTGTTATCTCTCAGTCTTGGCATTTTGTCAATGAACTCCAGGGGAACCTGAGGGCATCTGTCTAAACTTTCCCCACACCAGCAGGGTAATAAACAGGTTCCTGAGATGTGAATGTGAGGCGTCCGGCTGTGGCATCTATTCCCTAATTAACAGTGGGAACTGATGCACCCATTTCACGTGGAAGGCACTGAAGCCCAGGGAATCTCAGGGGTTGAGAGTATGTGTGCGGTTCCAGAGGACGGTCCCAGATTGGTGGGAGGGAGGTCACTGTTCAGCACGGATACGCAGCTGCAGAGACCATGGAAGCTCATGAGGTCCTGGGTAAAAGGCGGGGCCTTCTTGATGATACAAGAACTTAAAACATACCAGGTGCTGTTCCTACCAATGTTGGTATATTAAATTTTAGTAAATATGAAATGGGCCCTAATATTGTCTCAATGTTATAGTCGAAGAAACTGAGACGCAAAGCTGTGGAGCAACTTGTTCGGGCACCGGGCAGTGAACGCAGGAGGGAAGCCTGGAAACAGCAGTCTGCTTCTCCAAGTCCAAGTCCACGGTCATGGCTGTGTTCTTATTTTACATTTACTGCCTTTTCTACAACTTGCAAAGGCACTAAAAATCGGATAATGTTCTGGTAGTCTATGATTATGCCCATCCCAATATAAGTGTATTTATATATATATACATGTACATAAATATATCAGAAGTCTATCAGATATTCATGGATTATTTAATTTTGTGTCTTAACAAATCTGATGAGCATGGCATCTTACATCTATAATTTATCTAAGTCATAGATACAAATACTAAGTGGTTTATGCTCAAAGATAACCTGGCCTCAGGACACAAGACACTTCTTTCCCTCTGACCTGGATCTACTGAACTAAATTTCTTCATACACATACGAATGTACTTCTGTTCAGATACTTCTTCTTTATAAATTGAAAAAGTCTCTAATTTTACGAGTAAAGGCCCTGAAACAGTGACTTACAGAATTAAGACAATGAAATATTGGAGATTAATCGGCTCTATAATTTTTTTTTAAACTCTATATTTCACAAATGGGAAAACTTGGGCCAAGAAAATGTGAATGATTTGCCCAAGAACAAATAACCAATTAGTGAGCACATCTGGCTTCTGGTTATCAGAACTCTGATATTAATATATTATTTTCTCCTTTCTTTCTTTTTTTTTAAATTTCAAAATATTAAGAGGAAACAAATGTGTTTGATATGTGGCCTGAGTCAGGGCTGTGAAGTGTGCCCCTCATTCACGCGGCGTTCCCTGGACCGGCTGGGTGAGTTTTAGAGCCGCCCTCTCCCGCTGCTGCTTGATTTCCTATGACTTCTTCCCCCTTCTGGGCACCTGTGTGCCCATCTGTCCGTTCCAGTCCACTGGAGAGTATACTGGGTGTTTGTTTTTTTTCCATTCTTGAGATACTTCATTTAGAGTAATGGTCTCAAATTCACAAATTTTAAACTCACACTCACAAATTTTAAAGGACCTCATCCTATGTTGGGCTGAATAGTACTCCATGGAATACACATACCATAGTTGTTAGTCCACTCATGAATCGATGGGCCCCTGGGCTGATTCCACATCTTTGCTACTGTGAACTGTGTTTCAGTAAACATCGGAGTGCAGGCATCTTCTTAATAAAGACTGATTTTCCTCTGCATATATACCCAGAAGTGGGAATTTATGAAAATGATCCCAATGGCAATTACAATAGCAATGAAACTAAATAAATGGGATCTGATTAAGTTAAGAAGCTTCTGCACAGTTAAGAAATTATCAACCAGGCAAACAGAAAACCTACAGCATGGGAGAAAATATTCACAATCTGCACATCCGATAAAGGACTAATATCCAGAATCTGCAAAGAACTCAAATCAATCAGAAAAATAAAAGTAATGTTTCTTTTAAAAAGATTTTGGTACATGAATAAAAGATGAAAATATCATTTAGAATAGTATGAATAGTATTAACCGTATTTTCTTCTTTAAAAAATTTGAAAATATTTATTGAGCCTTGACCAATCAGCTGGGGAAACACAGAGGAACGGCTCTAAGCCTGTGTGTGCACCGTCCTCAGGCCATCTGATGACCGACCTTCCCTGGCCACCTTCCCAAGTGGCCAGAGAAGGTTTTTTAAATGATGGGTCTTGTACCCACTCTCAGAAGTATAAAAACTGCTTTTGATGATCAGATAGAGTTGAGGACCTGGCAATGAAAAGAGTAGGGGACCTGGGGTCAGAATAGCAGCTAACTGCTAACATCTACCATTAAAATACTCGATCCAAAGCTTCTGTATTCTTTGAAGTAGCTTTTCTAGATTTACGGATCCACTGGAAATGTTGCTATTAAGGTCTATCAGTGTGATTGTGTTGTCACAAATGGCATATTTTGTTCTTTTTTAAGGCTGGACATTCCATTGTGCATATATGTGTGTGTGTATGTATGTATGTATGTACACACACCCACAAACATAATATCTTCCATTCATCTGTTCATGAACTTAGGTCACTTCTATCACTTGAAGGACGTTACAGTATTTGTACTAAGCCAAACACACACACACAAAAATGCCGTATGATCTCACTGATACGTGGAATCTAAAAACATTGAATGCAAAACCAGATGGCACATGTGTAAGTGGTTGCCAGGGCTGTGGGGTGGAGTACCGCGGAGAATGCTGGTCAATAGGCACACGAGTTTCAGTTAAGCAGGATGAGTAAGTCCTGGATATCTAATATACAACACAGTTACAAGAGGAGATCTTCAGTGTCCTCACCACACAGAAAATTAATAACTGTGTGAGGTGAAGAGCACGTTAATTATCTTAATTGTGGTCACTATTCACAATGTTTATCAAAGCATCTCATTGTACACCTTGAACAGGTATAATTTTTATCAGTTATACTTCAAGAAATCTGAGAGGATAAAGATCTATCAATACATATTGATTACAGGTGCAATACATTTTGCAGGTGCTGAAATTGTCTGTGCAGCTCCTAATCATGTCTCAGCCACTCAAGGGCCCGTGAGTGGAGCAGCTGGTCAGATTGTATAATCACCACCATGCAGTATTGGAAATGGGCCTGTCTTTGGAAGGACCAGCCTATAATTCTTGCACCCCTGGGTATCACCCTTGTGATGGGTTTCCTGGATGGTATCCTGCTGGAACTGCAACACTGTTCTCTTTCCCTCCTAAAAGATATTGCAACAGGAAAAAAGGAAGTTTCCTTCAAAGATCTGGATACGGTCATTCCCATGGGCACCATGCCAAGAAGGGAAGCCACAGAAAAGAAAGATTTACAGAAAGCAAATGTGAAAATCCTCAAACACCAGGGTGCAGCCTTGGAGAAATATGCCAAGAAGATGTGGGTAAACCAGCCAACCCCAACTGCCCAGCTCCCACCAAGGCAGCCCCACCGGACCCCAAGAAGAACTTCAGCAGCTTGACTAGTTTAGATCACAACCAAGCTGAAGCTCGAATTGCTCTTAAACTTGGTGTGACAGCTAATGATGTAAAGGACGTCATTTTCTGGGGAAACTATTCCTCAAACCAGCGTCCAGATGTCAACCTCGCCAAGGTGAAACCACAAGAATAGAAAGTTGTTTAGGAAACTCTGAAAGATGACAGCTGGCTCAGGGGAGAGTCTATCTCAACCTGCAGCCATACAGCTGGCTCAGGGGAGAGTCCATCTCAACCTGCAGCCATACAGCTGGCTCAAGGGAGAGTGAGTCCATCTCAACCTGCAGCCATACAGCTGGCTCA